CTGAAATGTCAGCTGTCAAACTGACTTTATTTTTTCGTTGACACCGCACAAATGACGCAAAATTTAAATCTTGCGTAAAATTTGGGACACCCGATACATACAGTGTACCGAATTTAAACCATGGAAATTAAGGAGTTCATAGAGTAAGTAAAAATAATGGCACTTTGCTATATAAACTTGTTTCAAAACTCCATTGTTTTTTGAGATTAAGTGCTAAAATTTAAAGAAAATGTTATCTCTAAATATCTTCTGAAAAAAATGAAGATACTGAAATAAAATTTTGTATGCAATATATGAATAAATTGACATTCAACGTGAAAAAATTAAGTCGCTATTCGCGCTAGTGGCGTAAGTAGATATGAGGTATTATAGTTACATTTACTTAAAAAATTATAGTATGCCCCTTGATTTTTTTTATTTTTGAAGAAAACATTCCTTCATTTTGACAAATTGTAAAAAACCCTGTACAATTTTAAATTAATGTATACATATCTTTACAAATTGTTAATTTGTGCCAAGAGTAAAAGCTACGCAAAAAAGTCGAGATCATTTTCATTCAAAATAAAGTTTCCATTTAAAAAATGAATTTTATTTTTCAATAGCATGTTATAATACCTCATATCTACGCCATTGGTTATAGGCAAGGCTTGAATACCATTTTATTCATGTGCTGTAGGTACATACAAAATTTTTGAATATTTTCATTAGTATTTTTTTAATTTTAGCACTTCTCAAACACGGTGGGGTTTCATATACAAGTTTATATAGTAAAGCGCCATTATTTTTACATAAGTACTTCATGGATTCCTAAGTTTTAGTGGTAAAAATTGTTCCAAGAAAAAATAAATAAATTTCAATTTTATACTTCTACAATTTATTCAATTTTACTATCGCCAATGATCATTAAAGTTATTATGTAAGATTCATGTTCATTTGCTCCTATTTCGTGTGTTGGCGTGCGGGTTACCCGACCGACAAAATCTACAGCTTTAAACAGGTCGACTTTCTAGCAAAGGAAGAGAAACTAGGCTGCAATTTACGCCCCAAACTTCGACCTGGATTGTGGGTTTAAGAAAACGGCAAATAAAAAGCAAACATCGCGAAGAAAACGCCTCGTGAAATTTGTTGTATCTTACCCGAGGCTAAGCGAGGAGGTGGAAAGGGAGGTTAAATTTCAGTAAAGCGGGCGAATACAAAATTCTCCGAAATTTTGCGTCGACTAGCAAAAATGTTTGGGGGCAATATTAAAATGAAATTAATTAATGACTTAACAAAGGAATTTTATAGAAATAAAATCTCCAAAACGGTTGTCCCACTACTGCGAAGAAAAAATTATTTCTAGAAAAACCTAAAAATACACCAAAACAATTTTGAAACTGTGCTTAAGAAAAAAAAACAATTTAAAATATGTAGGTCTTTGCACAAGCACAAAAAAGTAACGAGTGGTTTGTAGTTAAAACAAAGCTGAATATTAAATAAGTTATTGGTAATATAAGATTTAGAAAAAACTCATATTGACTGATGAAGACGACATGAAAGTTGAAGAAGAGTCGAGACCAACATCAAAGCTGTTTTTGGTGTGTTTGGCATGAGTTAGATATGGCAGAGTGACGCCCTCACGAGCGTTTGAATTTAGTCAGTGCAAAACCAATGATGTAACTGTGATCATGTTAATAATGAGTGGAAAAATCTCAAACGCATCAGCCATGAAACGCGATAGAATATTGGAGGATGAAGTGAGGAAACCTAAGTACCAGACTGGGGAAAAAATTAAAAAATGTGGTATAGAAAATCGAACTTGAGACACTGACTGCTTTTTTTACCTCCCTCTTCAAGAAGTAGGAAAAATTTCACTAATACATTGAAAATTTATTGATGAAAATTTGAACCGATTTCTATGCAGTGCAGTGGAGTACAATGTACAAATTCCAAAGTTCTATTTACTGCAGCATGGATAATAATATATGCCTATTATTTTTTTAAAATATGAATCAAAGCAGTGGCACGCAATCATCAAAGACTTTATTTTTGAAAAATATATATTATATTATAGGAAATTAAACATATTTCACCAAACTCTATAGTCATAATTAAATAGTTTAATTCTTTGAATATCACTTCATGTTAATATAATATTTTATTGAATTTAGAGCCAGTTCTACCCTGAACAATTGCACAATGCCCGAAACTGATGATCCTTACTTTAAATATTCTGTGCTGGAGCAATGACAACCACCAGTAAAAAGTTATAATGCAAGATTAAATAAAATAATAATTTACCAACACTTGTCACATATAATTGGGTGTATCTACTGTTGAATAATGTAGGCAATTTAAATACAGCAAATGTTTAGCGTTTCTTTTTATAATTAAATTAATATCTATTATACTATGTATTACTTTTTTCACTGGCGCTCTTGACTTGTTATTTATTTATTTATTTAAAATTGCACCTGTTCAATGGGAAGTAATCAATTATATGTTAGGAAAGTACAAACTTGTGTTTATATTTTTTAATTTTAATTCAAACTGAAAGCCAATAATACCTCTGAAAAAATATATGTATTTCAAAATTTGTAAAAAATATCAATATTTTATAAAACACAAGCATAATGATAGAAATATAAAATTCTCACATTCAGGCTTTTGGATAATTATTATACCACACAAATTGCATGTACAGGGTGGGCAAATAAGCGAGGTAAGCGGCTGTATCTCAGAAACTAGTGATCGTAGAGAGCTACGGTAAAAACTTTTATAGGTAAAGTGGGTAAGGGAAAATGCTGGAAATTATTTTCAAGTTTCCAAGATGGCCGCCAGTGGGCGTTTCCACCATCTTGAATCACATAAAGTTACGTTTCTCGCGATTTTCCCCAATGAATGTAACNCTCTATCGAATGGCATATCAATTTTTATATGTAACGTTTCGCCTTTCCAGGATCATCATCAATTTCATTTTTTTAAATACGACTGGAAATTTTATTACATTTTTTGGAAGCATTCATGACCCCCAATACTGTACTGCCTCAGCCCGAACTAGACTCAGACGTTTTGTCTCGAAAAATTCATCTTCAATATATTCTTTCCAAATTTATCTAAATTTTTTATTTAGATTTCTATTTTTCTATTAGATTTTTATGTTTATTGAATTATCATACACTCTAAATGTCGTTAGACCCTGTGAAATATATCTAGTTATTTAAACTATTGCCACGATGCATTACAATACAACATTATTAGAGTTTTAATCCCGTGCCCATAGTTATTCCTATGCCTTCTCGAGTGTCAAAATTCAAACAAATTCTGATCTATTTTTTTTTTTCAGGACATTCATACAAATACATCTGACTCTTTCGCAGTTGCGGTTACAGGTATAATAAATTTATATAATATTACGCTGACCTTCATTTTCAACCTTGGCCAAAACATGTTTTTGAACATTTACTGAAATGTTTTAAATAATAATATTCAGTTGGCGTTTTGGTTGTTCATATGCATTTTTATGAACTAGTTTGTCATAATAAAATTAAAATTGTAATAATGTTTTAATTTTAACGCAACATGTGTGTTATGTATGACCAAGTGATGGCAATAGTTAATAATAATGTTTTACTGTAACGAGTGGTGGTATTAGTTTAAATAACTAGATGGATTTCACAGGGTCTAATGACACTTACAGTGTACGATAACTAAAGAAACAGAAATCTAAAAAAAAAAATAGATTTTGGAACGAATACATTGAAGATGAATTTTTCGAGACTGAATCTGGTTCGGGCTGATACAATACAGTATTAGGGGGTCATGAAGGCTTGCAAAAAATGTAATAAAATTTCCAGGGTGGTATTTAAAAAAAATGAAGATGATGGAGAGACGAAATGTTACATATAAAAATTGATTATGTCATTCGATAGAGGGCAAAAGGTGGCCATGAGAAAGCGTTCTTCTTTTTTCAATATCACCTCGAACAAGGCTGAAATTAAACAAAAACGGATTCCCAAAATTTCGTTTTTTTTCAAATATTTCGAAAACTAATCATGTTAGCCCTGATTTTTTAGAGGCATAATGTTGGTCCCCTGATACTACTTCGTACCTCTTACCGTTTCCGAGATCCCTGTAGTGAGAAGTGAATTTGTAACAGCCTGTATTTATACAAAAAATAATAATAATACAGGCACGAAATGTTAATTATTTGTAATTCAACTGTCTTGTAGTTCTATGTCACAATGTTTTACATTGATACATCAAAAACAACCAACAAGAAATAAGAAACAATTAAATTGCAAAAAAAAATTATTCAGTCAGATATAAGAAAGTCAATCGCCACTGCTTTTCAATGTCCAGGAATTCAATGCGACCAACCTGGCAGAGAGTAACCTGCTATTTCACAGGTACTATGAAAACACGACCTGTCACTTCCATGTTGTCCAAAACAATTTTAACTGATATTGGAAAGAACTACTCTATGCACTAATGTCTAACATTGAATTATTCCCGCAATATCTATTAAATGCTAGGATCATTCGTCAGCAGAACCACCAGACATATACTGGCTTCAATATGTTGAAGTTTGAAACTGGTACATCTCCGGTGAGTCTGCTGATCCTAGCTTTTACTAGATATTATAGATATAATACAATGTTATTTGAGGCATTAGTCAACAGAGTAGTTGATTTATTTTATTTATTTTGAAATGAATTTGTATGCAGACCATAAAAATCTAAAAATTGGATGAGTATAACTAAAAGACTGGACGTTATATAAAATATTGCAGAAGTATGCTATTGGATTGTATGCAGAAAAAACAAATCTTTATAGACATGAAAATATCAAATATGGTCTACCCTGTACACCAGTGATGGTTTTATAAAAATAACTAGACGTTATTTGACAAACATACATAATCGAGTTGTAAAAAGGTATAACACCACCTTAATTGTACAAAAAATATGAATATATAAAAAATTTAAAGCAGCATTCGATATTCAAGCGTAAATATTTACCTGTTGTTGGTGTCTCATTGGTTGTAGCTGTTGGTTAAGGGACTGTGGCAAATACTGATGTGGGTGTACCGCCATGCCTCCAGGAATCTGATTTGACATGTAGACCAAATGTTCAGGAGGGATGGACTTGTTCTGTCCCATATCGTAAAGCCCCGGCATCGTCGTGTTCTGTCCAATATAGGACATGCTGTTGGGTGGAGTGGCTACTTTGTTATTTACCACTGGATACTTCCATTTGTCATGATTCTACAATACAAAATGGTAACGATTCAAACTCAACTTTCAGTTAAATTTCAATTCCGATGGCAAGCTTTACAGGTTATTCAATTAGCAAGCAAAATTTATAAGGTCTTCCCCTCATTTCCAAAAACGAGGTGCACCCTTTTCGGTTTTATATTTCAAAACAAACACAATTTATTGATCTCACTCACAGTGACTTTTCCACACACCACAATATCTAGTTCTCAATTCATTCTGATGGCAGCAAATATTAAATTAAAATTCAATGATTTTTAATTCCATATAAAACACTTAAAATTAATTTGGACATTTATTTACTGGCGCTCACACAATATTGCAATGGCAAACCAAAAGTAAATTATGAATCATAAAACAGATTAAGCTCAATCCCAAACTCAAACATTTGGTTTTAATTATTTAGCCTTCTCTGTCAAAATGGAAACTTAAATGGCTTGTGCAAAAATAAACATTTATAACACAAAACTAGATATAAGATTATTTCCAAATTAAACATAACTACACTGCATTTGGATAACGTTTAATTTTGTTTGCTAATATTTCTTAATTAGTAGGTTCCCTGTTTAATCGAATAGTCACCAAATTAAAATATTTCTCTTTAGATCTTATTTTTAAAAAGAAATTGCACTTTTAGTAAGAGAGAATATTACTAGAAAATCCATCTAAACATGTAATGCAAATGAAAGATCATGGAAAACAGGGACACACATATAAACATTGGAATATACCTTTCCTGTTTTGTCGAGGATTTTATAAAAATACTCAGTAATTGTAATTAATTCATGTGTTAATAGTTTCATAGAAGCATTTTGCAGGATGTGATTATGTTTACAGTACCGTATGTGATTTTCTGTCTATTAAACAGGCGTGTAAAGTTCAGGAAATGTAATCATAAATATAAGTAAAAATAAGCTTTTTTTTACCTATTCTAAATGTATTGTCAGCTTGTAAAATGTCTTACACCCTGGAGAAAACCTGTATAACTAATACAGTGAACAAATATTGTTTCTAACTTGCTTAGATTTATTAAAACCCTCATCAAAACATTGCAATAAATTCATTGTAAATCTTAACAAAATATGTAAGTACATTTTTTTGAAATCTTGAGAAAAATGGAGAAATTATCCACAAAAAAACAAGTTAATATTTTTCAGCTTATACTGGGAAATTGAACACGACATTTCATAAAAGCAATAGCAATTTCGGTTTTCATTAACACTACATTTTTATGTTTAAAATTAAAAGTTTACAATAGAACAATTTTTTTATTATGGTATTAGTATTACGAGGACAAAGTTCCTCCTCGCTTTAGACAAGTGTAAATGTTATTTAATAAGTAATAGGCAAACAGCCCCCACAATGAACCAGGATATAATCTTGTGAAGAATTACTTTGTCACAAAAAATTTTGTGGAAATGAATTGGAGAAAATGACTCGATTCACCAAATAATGCTATCTCATGTGAACGAGTCCAGTGTTGACAATTTACAAATCTTTGGGCAGATCCAGACATCCAAATTGAGAGGTTAGTTTTTTATTTTCGTTATCTTCGAGATTTTGAAAAACTATTACATATTTGAAAACCGTGCTTACTTTATCAAATTCTATTTTACGTTAAAAATAAAACTAACTTAAAAAAATTTTACATATAGTTTAAACAGATATTAAAAAAGTGAGGTTATACCACAACTACCACGTTAAAACAAATGTTTTATGTTATAAAAAATAAAACCTATGTTTACTACTCTATAATAAAAATATAAGCATTTGTCTATGGGTGTAAAAAATATGCGATAAAACACATTCAAACATAGGCGCAGAAAATAATATTTATTTACTTATTTATGTAGAATTATGACCACGTTACTAGAAATTTCTCTGGATAATCATACAGTAGTGACTGTAATAAAAATATATGTAACCATTTCAGAAAATTACTGCACTATACTGTACTTTTCAGTATTATGGACTATCGACTATTATTTTTTTTTTATTTCACTCATAACTTCATAATTACTTTCTACTCTATTAAGAGTAAAATCTTCAATTACATACTAAGTGAAGCAATAGGTATCTGCAGCAAAACCAAGCAATCTCATGCAAGCAATGTTAGAATTGAAACAAATGAAGCGGCATAGTATAGAGAAACAAATTACTAACATCGATAATACTGTCGTCTCCATGAGCCCAACGCAACTGTTTTGGTCCAAAAGAAGGAAATTCTGGATCAGGAGGTCGTTGGAATACATAGCCTACTGCAGCATCGTCTTGAGTACGATGTGGCCCTCGGTCCATTTCTACTTTGATTAAACCATCTCCTTCACCACTCCCCAACCACTTCATTGGTGTCACTGAAATATACAAGAGATCCTCTAAAAAGCCTTGTTTCACAAACGCCTAAATTTTCTGGATAATCAATAACCCAACCAATAATTATAAATTTAATCAGTAGACTACAACATTAAACAAAAGATTAAGATCAACTGTCAAGACTCACTATATTTATTGTTATCCATTAAACAACATTGCATTATTAATGTATTTCAACAATAAAAAAATTTAACCGTTGTTGAGGCAGACACTTTCATCAAATTCAAAATGGGAGTGGATTTATGACAGTTGTTTACGACATGACATTTCATATTCCCGGTAACAAACAAAATAATGGCGTTTGACAACTCGCACCAAGACACAAAGAAAATCATTATAAAGTGTTTCAATTTTGACAAAAACAACACTATTGACAACTAACAATCTACCTGTTTTTATTTGGTAAAGTCTTTGTGCATTAACAAAATGTATTTTCTGCAATATTCACTGTTCTGGTTGTTCTGTACGTCGGCGTCGGCTTTATTAAAGATTTTTCCACTATACACAAACACAATTTTCAATCACAATTTGTACACTATTTTGAAATCACAACACAAAATATTATCACTAACTATACAATAAACTATTTACAATTTACAATAAATACAGTATTCGCGATTTACGCCATTTATACAGGATGATGTTAAGAGATTTAAAAATGACAGCAATATCTGAGCAACTTGCTCGCCATTTTGAAGTTCTGCGCACGCACCTCAAAACGGCCGTAGAATTATAACTCTGCAACCAACATTACAGCTTCTACCTATTAGGAAAGTATACCTGAGACAATACGTGGACATTTTCGAGAAAATCAGGGAGATGTGGAGGTCTCCATGGATAAAATCTTTTTTGTGTTCAAGATTTATATGCACATATCTGCATTATTTGATTTGTCATTGTGATGTGCTTATATTTATTGAATTTACTAATATAATTAAATGGTATATAAATATTGGCAATAGAAAAAAATTATTTTATTACCTACTTATATATACCTACGCATTTTACTTGGTTATATTTTGACAAAACGTATAAACAAGAAAAATAAAAATTGAAATGTTTATTTATCAGTCAATCTTTCCAAAATTCTTTAATTGCTAATTTCATATATACATATATAAGAGATATTCTGTATTGCTTGTTATTATCTCAAAATATTAAATGTTTTTTGAAATGAATAGCGCCTATTAGCACCTACTCCATCAATTTTAACTGTTGGATGCCTAGAGCACTTTGTAAAATTTTTAAGGTTCCATTTTACTAAATAATGCTTACAGAAACATTTTTTAAAGAAAATCTCATATTTACAAAAAAAATTATCACAGTAGGTTCTGCTAAAGAATTTTTAACCATATTTAAGAATTCATAAAAATAATAGACATAATCTAGTGTTGCTATACTTTTATGTAATATGATCGTATTTTTTTCTCAGGGTTTAACAAAAACAACCCTTGACTGAACCTTTTGGCACAAAAATTTATTCCCAAATAAACGGAGAAACGGTTAAAACAATTCCACTTCAAGTAATATACCAGCACTGTAGTTAAATGCATCCTAAATTTTATATTTTCTCATATATAGATCAAACTTTTTAGGTAGGTACATGGTTGGATATATAATGTGAAATTCAAGGATTTTATATTTTACACAATTGTGCTCCTAAATTGATTACTAGGTTTCAACTGTAAATTATGTTAGGCCATCGTCCATATCGATGCGTAGAATAAAACAGTTATTTTCAAAATCGTTTCCTAATAAATACTTAGCATTTTTTTTTCAGGCACATACATATTAACAATTTCGCAATGTTTGAACAATTAATAGGCAATCATTTCACTTTTAATATCCCATTTGTTTAGCTTGGTTTGGTATGTAGATACTTAATTGGAACAACAGTAATTATGGGATCAGATGCAAATTTTTATGATTTCTATAGAAATGTAAAGAAATATAAATATAAAAAAATGTTCTCTAATATTATAATAATAATTATTATTATAATTTAAACATAGTTATGTTTCTATTATACATTAAAATGGCATTAAGATAATTTTAAGTTCCTAATAAATAAAAAAAATAGAAAATGTTTAATCGTAGATCGAATAAAACATATTTCCAATGATTTTTATTTTTTCATGTAAATATAAAAAAGAATTATGGAATGCTGTATTTGTACTAGTAACAAAGTAACTATTTAAATTACCATGATAATTATTATTTGTTTACGAGAAACAACTTTTAATAATGAAGTGATTTTTCCATTGAAGTAATTTTATTTACATACTTAATTTACATTAGTGTGAAGAAAAATCTTCTCATTCTCAAGGTATTTAAGAAAATAATGAAAAGAACGAGTTTTTGATATGTATGTACATTATACATTACTTAATATTACCTATATTGTTAGAATACCAAAATTTAATAACACATTTTTTAGGTTACTATATTATCAGTTGTAAAATATAAAAATAAATTGTAAACAAATTAATGCAATTATTAAAATTAACAAAATGCACAATTACAAAAAAAATGAGCTCAATTTTTTAATGCAGTTTTAGTTACTAATAGGCGAGTATTTGGCAGTACCAAATAATTAATTATGTTTAAAAAAGGATATAGTCACTCAGGCATTCTTCCCCTTTCATTTTCTACTTTGGTATTAGAATAGAACACATTATTTCATAAGGAGAAAAAAGTGAGATTGAAATAAAGGCTGATGATGCTGTAAAATTAATTAAAATATAAGAACTTAATAGGGAAAAATGAAAAAGAAAAACGCTGTGCGATTAATAAGTTTACTATACTGTAAGGAATGAAGAAACTGAAAAAAATGTTATTAATTTAAAAAAAAATCCAAAACAAATTAATTTTTGTTTTTGAAATGAGCTAAAGGCATTGATTTTTTTTTTATTACTGTTTTGGAAAGATTTGCTTTGCTGCTACCTAAAGCCAATGTTAAACAATTTATCATCAAATTATGAAACATTTGTCAATACCTTATTCAGACCTAATTGTCCATGTTAACATGTGATTGAAAATGCTAGTCTCATTGGAGAATAAAACTCTCATTGTATTTTTTGATACAGTCTTTTGCCTTACTTTAACCCCCTAACCGGTAGTAACAAAGTTCTATCTGCTGGTTACCCCGAAAAATATTGAAATTTTGAAAATGTAGTAGGAAAATAGTAAATGCAAGTTGAAATCGCAAAAAGATTTCTTTTACTTTACTTATTGCAGTATTTTTATACAAAGACGAAAGTTTAACAACTTATGTAGGTACTTATAGTGGATTATTTTTTAAATTTTATAATATGTAGGTATTTACCTATATGCGCTGTTTTTGAAAATTTTATATTAAATTATACTTACCTGCCTTTCAGTAGATGTTTAAATTTTCAAAATTCTTTTTCAGAGTAGCCAATTCACCGAATTTGCCAAATTTTATGTCACTGAATAAAACATACCTATCCAATTTAACATTGTCAGTGGAGTGAGGGGAACAATTGTTTCACACATGCACAACATGTACCTAATTTAAAAGAACAATTAACGTGTTTTAGAATACATCCTAAAATTAAGTACATAATACTTAAAATATAGGTATATTATTATTATTAGGTATACATTCGGACTACACTCTACAATGTTTATTAGATATACCTAACTTTTTTTTTCACCATAAAATTTTAACGTATTACGCTATTTTAAAAAGGAGCACCTTGGATTTTTCTTTTGTAACTGTCTTAAATCTCTAATTTACAAAGACATTATTAATAGTCAAGAACAACTGTGGACAAATGTTCAAGAATCGGTTAATATTATCAAACAACATAGAACTTTAATTAACATTAGACAAAATTTAAATAAGTACATTGAAGTCGGTGATGGTTGCTTTGAGAATCTTTTATAATTGTTAAGATATGCATAATAAAATTTTCAGTTGCTGTAATATTTGTCTTAATTCTTAATTCATGCCGAATCTCAAAAACTACAAATTTTCATAATAATCGGTCTATACATACTTAAAATACAGCAAATAATCAAAAATATTTTTTCAACTTTAACACCCTGTAGAACGAATAGGAGCTACAATTGACTATGGCATGTTTGGCTCAATCGCTACATTTTGACGTTAACAATCTGTCAGTAAGCTGTGTACCATTATTATTAAAGACTCACCCTGTATAAGTCTGTAACTAGAAAAACCATGGTACTGTAATGTCTATTCTAATAAAACAATATTTTTAAATAGGCTTTTGAAATCAATGTTTTAATGATAACAATCAGAAAAACTAATATGTTTTACCCATTATATGGAAACTGCCAACTCCATCAGTAAGAAGAGCATGATCGATATATATAAATAAATTTGTATATTGTTTTGTGTGAGTTCTGATTTATCGCATATATAAAATTATTTTATTTGGCAAAGATCTTTTGAATTGAAAAAAGTAAATTATTAAATTTTAACAGTCATTTTATATTAAAATACATTTTCATTGTAACAACATTTTGGATACTAATTAATGACATGGGTGTTCAGTTACTAATAGATCAAATGTGACTAATAAATTCTACTAAGAAAATCAGTGGCGATAGTTCAAATTCAGTTTTATCGAGAAAATTTTTGTTCCAAGATACAGTTTTAAGGATGGAAGAATTAAAAATATTTGCAGACGTATCTCGAACCAGGTTCATTACCAGGTACAATTTCAAAAATATCAAAAAAAAACAGTGACTGCATTCTTGGAGCCCTTTTATAAAAAAATAAATGTTAAGCAACTGTGTAAAGCAGAAATAATGACATATTTCAATTTTTCATTTATTTTTAAATGTAAACATACATGGGCGTAGCTACAACTTTAGCTTGGATTGGGCTCAGGGCTTCAAGCTCTATGGAAGCCTCTAAAAAAAAGGCACGCAGTTACCGACTTCCTGATTTGACAAAGACGATAATATTAGATCTTTTTTTCTGGAGCCCCCCTTCCCTAGCTGCGCCCATGAACATAAAAGGCTGCATATCCCTAAAATGATTGGTTCCTAAGTAAAATGAAGTTTAGGATATTCCATTCTAACTTCGCTTTTTTTTGTTGAATTTGCTTCCGAGGTAAGTAACTTTGTAAACCAACGCATTTAAAAACCTATATCTCAGTAGGTGATGACCTAGAAGTAGGAGTAGGTCTAGGAATGGGAATAGGAATAGGAATAGGAATAGAAGTAAGTTGGTCTAAATTATAAAAAATACTCAGTACACAAATTTAGCAAAAACATGATGTTTAATCAACGCTGCAGTAGAAAATTGAAATCCATTTTTTTTTCTCAGTTATTATGTGTTTTAACGATAGGCAACAATTATACTTTTTATGTTTATATGATATAGTTTCTGCTTTTAGCAACATATTTAAGAGTTCTGTGAATGAAATTTGTGCGCCACTGGGTTTCTGTATGTTCATGAAATTGTACCTGGTGATGAAATACTTGAAAACGTTTTTAGTTTTTTAACTTTAACACCCTGTATCTCGGAAACGAATCATTTTTTGACGAAATATCATATGAACTACCCCTTTTAACTTTCATTATAGAATCTATTAGGGACGTTTGACCCATTAGTAAATAAACATCCTGTAAATAATATGAAATTGGGCATATGAATTTATGTAAACATCAGGGTTTTTCGAAAAACATAAGAAAGTAGTAATTTGTAGGAAACTGAAAGACGAATCCGAAAATATCATGGTTGTTACCGTAAAGCAGTGGCGTACAATTTTAATTAGGAAAATATGCCACCGATACCCTGTATCTCCGCCACTGGAGCATATAAATTTCAGGAAAAGCCCTCAGATTTTGAACAATGTTCACATAAATACATGTGCCCAATTTCAAATTATTTCACTTACTAGTTTTTAAATTATTTAAAGAAATTAAAAATATTTTTTGAAATTTAACACCCTGTATCTTTTTAACGAAGCGTCCTAGATACAAAATTTATAGGAAGAACTCCCGTTAAAATTCACCAGAGAAAGAATACGAGATTTCATTTTTGGTCACCATTTGTGAATAACCCTGTATTGTATCTAATAAACATTTGATATTTTTAACTAAACTTCCTACTATTTTAAACCAATATGCCTCAGTGTAGGAAATTCATATACCGAGTGTTTCAAAACATATTTCAGAAAATAAACGGCGCGAGTCTTTGGCTCCTCTATGAAAAATGTTAAAAAAAATCTTTTTTCTCAAACTCAAATTTTCCACACATGTTATCATTAATAACCCTAGTAAATTTTGGGCATTTATTAATAGTAAAAACGGTTCTACAAATATATCCCAGTCTATGCATTACAATGGGCGTCATATTGATAATGCAAATGATATTATTGATGCATTTGCAGATTCCTTCTCTAAATCTTATTTACCGTCCTCTTCTAACAGCAATAATTCATATTCCAGCAATAACATTAATAATATCATACATATTCACGACTTCACTGAAACCGAAATTCTTTCAGCATTAAAAAGAGTTAAACCCAAAATGACTACTGGTCCGGATGGTGTTCCCGCGTTTCTGATAAGAGACTGTGCTCAGATTTTTTCTCGTCCCTTAAAAAAAATATTCAAGTTATGCCTAACTGAGTGTCGGTTACCTGATTTGTGGAAGCGTTCAAAAGTGTGTCCAATTTTTAAAAAGGGTGATAAATTTAACATTACTAATTTTCGTCCTATCTCCATTATATGTAATTTTTGTAAGGTGTTTGAAATATTACTTCATGACTATATTTATTATAGCATCTCTAATATGATAACACCTTGTCAGCATGGTTTTATGAAAGGACGTTCTACTGTCACTAACTTGATCTGTGTTACGCAATTTATAGCCGATTCTATAGACAACAACTTACAAACTGATGTTATATATACGGACTTCAGCAAGGCGTTTGATAGGCTTGATCACTCAATTTTACTCCAGAAGCTTGATATGTTTGGCGTATCAGGGGCCTTATTGAATTTCTTTAAATCATATTTAGACAACAGAAAACAGTATATTGTTTATAATGGGTATAAATCGGTTGAGTATGTCGCTACATCAGGAGTTCCTCAAGGTTCCATAGTTGGACCTTTACTATTCATTATATTCATCAACGATTTAGTTAACAACTTAGATGTAAATTTTCTTCTTTATGCCGATGATGTGAAAATATACAGCTCAGTTCGCAACATTAATGACTGTATTCAACTTCAACGAAACTTACTTAATATATAATCTTGGTGTAATAATAACAGACTAATGTTAAATGTGGAAAAATGTAATGTCATGTCTTTCACCAACAAGTTCAGCCGCATTATGTTTAATTACAGCATTGATAATGACGTTTTGTCAAGACCGAATACATTTTGAGACCTAGGCGTTGTATTTGATGATTTTTATTATTGTCTGTAAAATCCCTGTTCTATAATTGGGTAGTACCTGTTGAACAGTGTATTAAATAAAATAAAATAAAATTAATATTAGCTAATTTGTAACCCTAAATCAATTTTTGTTTATATGACAGTGGCGGAGATTTTAGGATTGCGTGAGGTTCTTTTGCCCTTAATTTTTTCCACTCTGGGAAAATTGACATTTTAAAAGCATATTTTAAACCGCCAATGTTATCTACACAAAAAAGATCCTCATCATTAAAAGCTCTAATGTGAACCGTTTTCAAGATAAATGGCATTTTATGATGGAAAACATGAAAGAAACTGGCAACTTGATAAAAAAAATATTTCAAACCTAACCAAATAAACAACAAAAATCACAACAGTTGTTAAAAATGGCCTCCTACTATGGTAATGCAGGCTTCCAACCTACGTCTGAGAGAGTTGTAAAAATTATACCAAAAGAACCTCACGCAATCCTAAAATCTCCGCCACTGACATATAAATGTAAATTGAATTAGCGCTCAAAAGTAGCTAATATCAATGATAATACGTGTACAAAATTTGAGTTTTATATCTCAAACAGTTCTCGAGATATCGTCAAAAAACTGAAAACAATCTTTTTTGGCACCTTTATATCTCGAAAACGGTGTGTTTGCGGACCCATGTTAATATGAACATTTTTCTTAGAATAAACTAAAGAATCACACTCTTCATTTTCCGATATATGTTTTGAAACACCCTGTATAATACTCAAATGATTTAATTTACTAAATATTGGTGTATCTGCCTTTGGGTTTACGTTTACACGAACTATAGTAGGTAGATTTTCTTTTGTATTCTCAAGCTCAGGCGAACATACTTACAATAAGTTGAGAATGAATACAGCCCTAACCTGCCAAACGCTTCACCTGTTATTAGTGTGTCTTTACCTGAGATATGCACGCCATAGAGTATCATCCTCCGTTCCGCGTCACTCCAAATCAGTTCTAGCTCAACCGCGGCAGTGTCAGGAACCATGACGCTGGTACCATGGTGGTGTCTCTTCCTGCACGTGATGGGGTTTGATGGGCACATCTACAGGCACGGTAAATCGTGGAACGGGTACAACTTCCATACGTACCCCCATCCCGCCAAAAAACCGGTGATTCCCCGGGACGTCATGGTCGACATCATTAACAACGTGGGGTTGAAGTTGTTAGCGGTGAGTCCGTTTATTTTAATTATGTTCTGCGGAGATGATGATGTCCGGTCATTAGCCGGCAACACTTTTGAGGGAAATATGATTAATTATGCTCTAATTGGGGGATTTGTGCTAGTTTGTCGTTATAGAGGTTTATGAAGCCGGAGCCTGAATTTAATGGGGGAAAAAATAAAAAATTGGAGTCAGTGTTTCATATATTCATGAAGCCATCCTGTTTTCATATTTTAAATTTAAACAATTCGACATTTTAGTACGAAATACTTGCAAATCGATTAATTTTATATAACCAAAATTGATTTTAGTTATAGGCGTTCGGTTCTAAAATAAAAAAAAAGATGGACTTTAAAAAATATATTAGCAATTTTTTTTCTATGTTCTAATTTAACATCCATGGGAATTCTTGTTTTTACAAAATTTAGAAAAAAATATTTCAAAGTGCCCAAGATACGGTCTAGCCGTTAAAACAGATTACTGCAGGAACCTACATGCTCTTATTATTTTCACATTTACTGAAAATATTCTTATCAAGTAATATATGGCAAAAGAAGAAACATTAAATAATTAAATAATTATCTCCATACTTGGAGCACTGATAACTATCATTTATATGGATAAGCTTCGTTTTAGAGAGTATTATAGAGAATAAAGTTACGCAGATATGTGGCGAAATTACTAAGCAAGAAAGAAGAAAAGTAATAAAAATTTGGAAAATGCATAAAAAAAGGAAATTGGTTAATTGAAATGGAGATAATTGTTTAGTTAGATACTTAAAGTTCTTATATTACAAATATTGTTAGTTGTTTTGTCATGTAAGTATTTTCCGTTGCGAATATTTTCAATAAATGTGAAAAATTTAGGGTCGGATAGATTCCTTTACCATAAACTTTTGTTACTAATTAGATAACAAAAAATAGGTCGAGAATTGAACAAGCTTGATAAAAAAGTAAAAGTAAAAGCTTGTCTAACTTTAATACTTTTAATTATTTTGTGTGAATGAAACACTACAATGCCTGTACATATAAAGTTGACAAAGGCATTGTACAAGAATTAATGAAAAAAGATACAGTTTATGAAAAGAAAACCACGTATGTAAATATTTAATTTGATATATGATTTATGGACAATATGATTGAATTATTATTATCATGATCATTACGTACAGGTCATGACATTCAACAATAATTATTTATACAGGGTGTCCAGAAAGAGCCATACTTCAAGGGTAGCTTGAATCTTTGAACGAATCTAAACCGATTTAGACTAAGTTTCTTTAGTAGGTACATTTCCATTTCCTAAAAAAATAAATTACTGACCTACAAAAAAAAATATGTTGGAATTAATTATAATATTGAATAATAGTGGATGGTTTTTAAGATATTCTAATGAAATCATACAGGAAGAATTTTGGAATCTATGAGCGGGTTTTTGGGGTGGGAAAGATAAATGTAGACTAAATTTTTATCTGAAATATAGGGATAGTTAGACACTGGACGAAGTTTTTGTTTTTTTTTGCACCTTTTTTTTGTAGAGATTTAGAGAAAACTCAAGTTTTATGAATTTCTAATCATTCCAATATAATTAAATTTCATTCTTTCGCTAAATTTGCACGTTTATTAAACTATTTTAATGATTTGCGTCAAACGCCTACAATAGGACATAGGCCTCTAAATGTTGTTGTGTTGAATTATAACCAAAAAGAATAAAAAAGTTTAATAAAAATACAAATTTAATGAAAGGGTGGTTTGATGAAATTCGAATATGTACTCCAAAAATTACCAAAATTTTATAACATTTAACCAATAACTGATAAAAATAGAAATCCAAATGTCAACCCGTATTTATTTTTGCTGTAAATAAAATTCCTGCATTTAGTGAATATCTACCAACAAAAAAATAAAAACCTCTGTTTCAAGTATTCTCGATCATTTACAAGTACAAATAGCTATAAAGAATAAAAATTGGCAATTAAAATTAAGTTCGCTCTTGGCGTTATTTTATATTTTATCAAATTTTAAATCAAGAAGAGAATTTTTATCAGTGTAAGAAATCTTCCTGATCACTAAATTTTTCCGCCAGAAAAGATGCTAATAAAGTATGAATGTGCGACTAATTTTTAACTACTAAATTACTAGTTTATACAAAACACTTTCCTGTATGCTTGTTGAGTTTGTAACCTTAGAATATTTAATTAGTTAAATGAGAGTTTCTTCATGAATCAGAAATACAATTAAGATGAAGATATATCTCATGTTCAACGCAGTAAGAATATTACACATTCTACAAGTTTATTATGATAAACATTCCATATAACTAATCGTAATGTGTTGTGTTAAACGTAATTACAGTCATTATTATTACTAGTTTGTCACTTTATCTTGTATAGGTATATAGTTCATTTTAATTGTGGGATATCTCGTCAGGTGTAAAAATATATACATTTTTTTTATTTAAAATTGAAAATGTTAAGTTAAAATATTAATCAATTTTACTGGTACAGGACCGTACCATATTTAACTTTATAACGAACATGGGGCATTTTTGTAAAAATGTGCATACAAAAATTATTTTATTAATTTTCAAAAATGATTTTGTAAAATTAGCATTTCTTTTATTAATTTACTGTTCAATAAAATTTAAAATTAATTATATATGAGTATGTTATGACTTTACAGTCTTTAGTTCTATCTGACTTGTTTTGTCATCTGTCAATGATAGAACTATTTCTTGCAAGAAACTCCGAGTCCTAAAAGATTCCTCTGAAGAAGGGAGCGATATGTCTCGAAATGTTAAGAATCCAAAATCGATGACGTAGCAACGATCTCGAAAATTGTAACCACAGACACATTCGTGAAATGTAAACATTATAGGTACATGAAAAAATATGATGTCAATAGTGTTACAGTAATTAATTTGATTTGTATGAATTTTCTTGTATTAATTATGCGATTATAAAAAAGAACCCCTTAAGAATTTTGAAAAATTTATTAACTTTTGTAGTCAGTCATAGCTATAACTTTCTACCAAAAATAACATTAGGGTGATTTGGCAGTAACTTTTTATTTTTCAACATTTTTCTCTTCATTGCGGAGAAATTGAATTAATGACAAACGATATTAGCAATTTTTATAGTGGCTATTTATTTATTATACTCGTACTCCTCATTTATGATTTCTAGTTGACCTTGTGCGAATTTTGCGACAGATATAATCAATCTATTCGAACTAATATGTAGGTATTTGTAGCTTTAACAAACGTTGGTAAATACACTCATCAATAAAAATAATATCAAAATGCTATATATATATATATATAGGTGTTTGTGGACCCATGTTAATATGAACATTTNTTAAATCTTCTATGTATAAAAAGCTAATATAATATTTTTAAAGAATGGATTATACAGGGATTTATATGTTATTTAAATACTTGGCCAAACTTGAAGGGGCGAGTCTTTGAGTGATTCTAAGATGAAAAGTTTATATAAACATAGGTCCGGTAATACTTTGTTTTCAAGGTTGTCAAACCTTTTTAATAAATCGTTTTTTCGTAAAAATCTTAACAATCCTTTACCCGATTTTGTTGACATTTGACATTGTTATTTATAGTAGAAAAGGGCTAATTTAGCTCAAACTAAATTAAAATTATTAAGTCCAGTGGCGTCCCGAGGGCGCCTTAACAAATATTTTTGACAAAAAAAATGTGCTCCACTTGTTTTTTTGGACAACAAAAAAACATTTTTAATAATTAATAAAACACAAATTTCTTTTTAAGCTAGCATTAATTTTTATAACAATTTCTAAGACTTGAATAGACTATTGATATGGAAAAAATAACAGGTACACCCCAGTTTTTGAATGTTTGGTATTTTTATTTTTTATTGTGCTGTCCCAGGGACATGCAATAAAGTGATTTTTTTTTCTCCACGAATTAAGCAAGATATGACAAAAATTCAAGGAACAAAAAAGTTGCATTTTTAGTTCTTAATGCCAATGTAATTTTAAGAAAAAATAATGTGGAAAATAAAAAAATACCTGTTTGTATTTATCAGTTGGTCAAGAAAGAAAATTATGTAAATATATGGGGATGTACATATACCTATCCAAAGTTTCAAAGTCGGCCACCCCGTTTTGATTTTGTGTTTTGCAAATTTCCTTAGAAATTTTTTCCTCAAAAAGGTCCTCTATTTCGATTTTGGGACCAGAAACATCCTCTAAAAAATAGTATGGGTCCCACATTTCATTATCAAACTATAACTACATTAATTTTCATAAGCTGTCGCTGATAACCATGTTTTCCAGTTTTTAAATCATATAAAATTCGTAATTGTTTAATAAACTACTGTAAGTGTTCAACAATTTGAATGTACGTACATCTAACTTTACAACTTTACAATAAAAAACAGTAGTCCGGATATTATAGAGGTCACAGATATTAATAATATAATGCGATTATGCATTATAATTATCTTGCAAAATACTAGTAATTTTAGAAGTGAAAATTATATTGTTGCAGGTTACAAACCTTAAACCATTATTTTAATTAAACGCTTTAAATTTAGGAAATAGAATAATTTATACAATGTTACAATTGACAATGTTTAGAGTACCTGGAACTCCATAATTTACTTTAATAGATCTACAAGGATATTGTTGCTATATTTTTCTCATTAATAGTACATACAAAAACATTTTATAAATTATAAACGACTTAAATGTTCTTTTCTGGGAACAGATCGACTACAAAAATAAGAAAAATAGTTAATGTTTCCGGAAAAATGTTAACAGTTTTCAGTAGCACCATTTCAAAATATGGCGAATGCGCCAATGTTACACAAAATTTAAATACATAATATGTCCATTAAAAAAAGTGAACTATTGTACGCATACAACTTTTTTTGTTATTGTATTGGATGCCATGTTAATTATTGAGCGTTTTGGATTTACATTGTCCAAGGTATTTGCGTGCAGCTTATACTTACTACAAATTGTACGTCTATTTTT